AATATTTTCAGTTGAAATAGCTTCTAATTCATAAAAATAATCAGTCAATGTATTTTTTAATAAAGCATTATAAGAATCATCATTGAGTTTTTCAATTTCTTTTATTATTTGATTAATCTTTGCTTCTTCATAATCTACTGAACTTTGTTAGATTTGTGTTGCATTATCTATATTTTTATCAATTGAAGAAGACAAAATTCTGGTATTTTTCTAATAGTTATGAATAGTTTCTTCAGTTACTTGCTTCCATGCATCTACTAAATAATCAATTGCTTCTTTAATATTGATTTTCTCTTTATTAATACCTTTTCCATTTTCAAATAAATTTATTATATAATAACAAAAATTCCTTTTATAATAGTTTTTAAAGCTTGCAATGATCTCGGATATCAAGTAGCTGAAGATGGCTTATAGTATTAGAAGGTAAAAAGATCACTTCAATATGAGTTAATTGAAGTTGAGTAATATTAAGTCTATCCTTTGATTTACCGCTACGACCTCTATAATAATTTCTACTATGACCTCTAGATTCACAATTACTTAATCTATCACTACGACCTTTACTATGATCTCTACCATGACCTCTAAATCCATGATTGCTTGATTCACCATCACAGCTTTTTAAAGCTTAATTTCCTATATTAAAAAAAAAATCTGGTAAGATATTTTTTTTAAATATTTGATAATTATATTATATTTATCATATTAAATAAATTTTTTATTTTCTATTTTTTTTATTTAATTTTCTATTATTATTATTATTATTATTATTTATTTTTATTTTTATTTTTTTTTAATATATAATATATATTAATAAATAATATTATAAATAAAAAATATATATATAATATAAATTAAATAAACTAATAAACTAAATAGTTTTATAAAAATAAAATTAACTTTTTGTTAATCTGATAATAAACTTTATATCTAAAGACTAATTAATAAATAATAGACTTATTTGATAATCCATTTTCCTTTATAAAAACTTATTAGAGGTTGATATAAATTCAATTTTTTTATTGGCGCTATTTTCATCTTGCTCATTTAGTAAATAATTTGAATCAAAATGCAATAGAACATTATCAATCAGAAGCAAAATTTTTTTACTTTTTGCTCTAAAATAACTATTTAATTTATAGAGTACTTCTCTAAAAACTGTCGAGTTCATCTATACTTTTGAATTTCTACAGTAATAAACTGGAAGTCTTTCTATATTAATTTTTAAAAGAAGTCTTGGATACTTTGCGTTACTAATTACTTATGGTTTGAGTTTATTCCTATTGTATTTATACTAAGAAAAACTGTGATTCATATCTTATCTTTTTTCTCACTACGAACTGGCTTGATTGAAAGTATGATTTGGAGACATTCAATAATAAAGACCTGTTTCATCAATATTATAAATTTTATCAAGAGTATATCAGCTTAGAAGTTGATGAAGCTTGATTCTTTTTTTCAGAAAAGATGCTATTAGTATACTTTCTGATTCTCCATATATTTGATATTGACAGATATTATTAAGTTTTTTAAAATTATCTAACTAACCATTAGAGAGTACCAACTCATTTTTTTGTATGTTGAATACATTGGTGAAAAATCTTGCCTTTTCTTTTATTAATAAATCTGTTAAGATAACATCACTTGCTATGATACTTTCTATCTATAAACTCATAGCCCTATTAAGTTTTAGAAACTTGACTCCTTTATGTTTGTAAATTTCTTTAGAACCTTCAATTTCTAATGCAGAACTTCACCTTTTACTTTGTCCTAGTATCTTTGTTACAGTACTATGATATATGTTTAAAGTTAGGTTTTTTTATTAAAATAGCTGGCAATTTCTTCATATTTTTTATTTTTATTATTTTTTGACCATTCACAAATTTGATGCTTGATACTAATACTTATAGCTGAATGGTATTTGAATGATCAGTAAAAGACATTATAATATTTAAAAATTAGTCAAAGAAAATAATTAACATTGATAATATGAACCACCACTTGAATTAGAATAGTAAGGATATAAATTTGTTAAAAAAGGTTTGCCATAGATAGATAATAAGAGGTCATTCAGAAATAATTTTGAAAAGGGATTTTTAAAGAAATCAATAATATAGTAACTATTTGATATTTCCAATAAAAGTATATTGATATTTTAAATATTACTCTTTTTATTGAAAAAAACTATCACTACAGAAAGAGAATTTTTTTTAGTATTACAGTGTTACATTTTTAAGAGTATTACATTTAACAAAAATGTAACATTTTCTCATGTTACATTTTAAAATTGAGATAATCAATCATAAATCTTTTATTAAACTTTTTTGATCTGCAACCAATTAAATCTCTTTAATATAAGCCAATCAAAAATTTGTGATTATAAAGAGATTTAATTATTTATAAAAATGATATGTATATTATAGATTATAAGGTGTTAGTGACTATAACTGATTTGTGATTATAAAGAGGTAATTTAATAAGCTTTAAATCTATTCTACAAAAATAGGTTCTTATATAAAAATGTGACTATATACAGTGTGACTATATAGAGATCTGACTGTAGTTATATTAGATTATATACTTTTTTCTTTAAACAATAAATTTTGATCTGTATTTAAAAAGTATTGTTAAAAATAAAAATATTTTTAAATTTCATATATTTATACAAAAAAACTTTAATTTTATTATCACATCTTTAACTTTTACTACTGCAAATATTACTTTTATATATAATTTTTTGATTCTAATTAAAAATGTAATTACTTTTTCCTTTTATTAAAATAAATAATATAAATAACATAAATAACTATTTTAACAAATGTTATATAAATCTGTATATGTTATTTTTTTAAAAAACATTTTTTAGTTAATTATTTAATATTATCAAATATTATAAATTTAGAATGTATCTTCTTCTTAAACTAAAGTATCCATTATAGTATAATATTACGATTATATAATATATCTAAATATCTTATATTTATTTAGTAATTATTATAAATTTATTATAATTAATATATTATAAAATAAAATTGCTAATTGTTTTCATATTTATTAAATTTATTATTATATATCATTATAAATTAAATTTAATATATAAAAATGTTATACAAAATATTTTAATATTCATAATAACATTTTTTCTTTTAATCCTTTTTTAAGCTAACTTTTTAAATAATAATATATAAGATATATTTAATTGTAGTCTATTTCTTATACAAGTTATAGTATTACTTATTATAGAAAAAGTCTGCTTACATATAATACTTATAGTTTAAATAGATAAGTAATCTTATATTATTACTTATTATACTAAAAATTCTTGAAAGTATGCTTTTTACCATAGTAAAAGTGTAATATTATTATTATATGATAAAATAAGATATCAGTCAAGTTCCTTAGAAATTTCAGATAATATTCTTGTAATACTTAAAATAATATGGTTATTTAATCTTCTTTTCTTTAATTGATGAAAGTATTACAAGTACTCATTATTTCACTATTATTGTGATTAATTACAAATTAAGATTGTAATATATAATATTTAGTTAAGCAGTTTTATAACATTAATTGCTTTAGTTGATTTTTCTTTATAACAAATAAAATAAGCTTTATATATGAATCTAATATTGCAGCTATTAAGGTAGAAAATTCTACTATATCTTAATATTATTCAATTTTTTGAAGTATTGATGATGCTAACTAACTTTAACTAAATTTTTCTTTTCTAATATAATCATTTAGATATCTTAGATTCTAATAAATAAAATTTAATATCAGAGATTATGTAATAAGAAGAAGCTAAAATAATACTGTTGACTTTTTTAATGGTTTAAGTAAAATAAGAATATACTATTTAATTTAAAAATTTATTTAATATGAAAAAAATTTTATATTATTTATTATCATAAAGAAATATTTAGATTTTTTAAACTAAATATAATATTTAATTTTGTTTATATAATATTAAATTTTGATATTTTAATCTGTTGCAACTAATATTTTAATGGAATGTAATATTTTTTAAAACTTTATAATCATATAATAGATACTATTTCATCTGATCTTAATATCTAATTATACTTTATAATACTACAAATTTTCTATTGAACATAATTCTCTTAATTTATCACACCTTCAAGATAAATATTTAATTTTTTTTATTATTACAAACTTTAATAACTTCTTTATTAATAATATTAATCTTCTATTATATAGCTAAATTTAAAATATATGTAGAATATCTATAGTATCAAAAAGTTTGATCATTAAGTTCTTATATGAATTCTTCTATAATTATTCTTTTATAAACTACCATTACTACTTCATTTTCAATAGTTAAAGCTAAAGTTTTTTTAAGTAAATTAAATTCTCTTAAAACTGATTTTATTTCATTTGTTATATTGATTTTAGTATAACAGTTAATAAATGAAATAATATCTAATAAAAATATTTTAGGTTTCAATTATTATTAGTATAATGAATTAATAAATTAAAAAATGTATTATTATTATATATCAAAGTCTATATATCTACTATTAAAGATATTTTGCCTGAAATAGTATTTAAATCTTTTTGAATATTTTTACGTTTTTTTAAAATAATCAAATACTAAAGTTTTTAGTATTTTTTTCATCTAGAATTTGATATTATGAGTTAAATTTATTAATTATGATTTTAAATTACAAATTTTTAACTATACAAAAAAAATTATGCATCTCTATTTACCTATTTTACTATTGTAATATCTTGTTCTTTTTTTCTTTTTCAGGTTAAAAATCAGTTTAACTAAAATTCAAAGTACTTTAATTTTTTCTTATATTTTTTTTAATTTTCTTTATCTTTATTTTATATATAGATTCTAAGTATTATTTTAAAGTTAAAATTTTAGTTTTTTTTTTTTTTTTAAAAACAGTTTGACATTTGTAACAAATTGTACTTTTTAGATGTTAAATTGTTTATTTATTGAAATATTTTTATGTTAATAAAATTTAATAAGATTAAAGTGAATTTTCATTCTTACTTTCATCATAATTATCATTATTTTCTTTATTTTCTCTAAGAGATAAAAGTTCAAGTTCATTAATATTATCAAAATTTTCAAAATCTTCAAAATCATAATTCAAATAAAATATTTTTGCTAAAAATTTTAAAATGCAAAATAAAAATTTAATTATAAAAAAATATGATGTATAATATGTAACTAGAATTTAATCAATCTATATATCATATAATTATAATTAAATTACAATATACAAAAATTTACAAAATTAAACTTTAATTTATATTATTTATTAAAATATTATATAAAGACCAATTTTAACCATTTAAATTAAATCTCAAAAATTAGAACTAGATCTTATTACGACTGAAATCAAAAACTAAATTCTAAAGTCTCAAATTTGAACTTTTTTATTCTCTAGTTTATTCTATATAATAATATTAAAAAAATCTGAATTTTATTTAAACTTATTAATTTTTTTTAATACGAATAGCTATTATTTAAACTTTATTAATAATATATATTAAAAATTATAAAGTATTATTATAAAAGTTTAAATAATATATTATTTAATAATAATAATAAAATACTACTAATATATTTCTCTTAACTAAAATAATACCAATAATAAAATATTTCAAACAATATTTTAAAATTAATTAATAAAAAAATTTAATAATATTAAGATATTAATTAATTTTATTTTATCTCTTAAACTGTTCATTTTAGCGGACAAATTTGTACACTAAAATGATTAAAAGTAAATTAGGTTTAGAGTAGAATTTTTATAGTAACTTTATTTTAATTAGTTGAAATTATAGTCATATGACATAATTTTTTATCCACAATGTCCAATATATCACATGACTTTTAAAGTTTATACAGTCACACCTCGATATAACGAAGTTGCCGATCCAGTCGATCAGGACTTCGTTATAAGAATCTTCGTTAACGCTATAACGAATTATGCGGAATGTATAACGAATAATTCGTTAT